TCCAGGATGCTACCTGCTTAATATTCATTAGTTCTCTGTGGCAGACATGGGCATTGCAGACAAGGGATTTCCGTCACTAAAACATCACATGATCATCACAACAGCATGTCAAATCTTTGAATTATTGCTGCCAGGTCTCCCATGTGCACAGTAGAGAAAGTGGGCAACTCATGAAAAAGGGTGTCATTTTTGTAATGTTCACACAAAGCTAACATTTGGGTCAGTTTTGTCTTCCAGAGAGATGTGACTATGTCTGAATATAATGTTTTTGTGGCCACGTTAAAAAAACAAGCCAAAACCAACCTCTGCATACGTATATCTTGCATGACTTCAGAACTAGAGCTAGGGGAAATCAGGCATCTCCCTTCCCTTGAAAGGTCCAGCAGGCCAGCCTGTGCTTTCGTTCCTAACTGGATAGCACATTGCAATAAACAAACCAAAAAAAAAACAAACCAACAAAACAATTTTTTAAATGTTCTCTTTCAGGAAAGCAAAAAAAAATCAGTTCTGAGGCAGTTCAAAATTAAATTGCATCTGCATACGGTGTCATAGAGTCTCATGGGAGATGTTGCTTAAGTGCTCAGCAGCAAAGCTCTCCGTCAGTGTAGATTTCCCCAGGTGTGCTCCAGCCTCCCGGTTCCCCTCCTTTCTAAGGTACTACACCCAATTTCTTCCACTGACTCTTTACTAAACATGATCAGGCCCTCCACACCCTTTAAACCTGAGTAAACTCACCAGCCTCTGGAGTGCAGTTCATGTTATCTGATGCCAGTAGTATAATCTACTCATTTTCATAGCTCACAAAACAATACAAAATGAAACAAACCAAAAATCCAAGTGCGTTTCTGCTTGTGCAAGCAAATTCAGGCGAAAGATTTAAAACAGCTTAATGAAATAAAATGGTTTCTGACTTCCATCCATCTGTGTTTAAAAACCATATAAAATACACAAGAGGGGAAATCAACAGAAAGGATATGAATGTACCAAAATTTTAATTGCTGCTCTTCTGATTGGATGGAAAGGACTAAGTATATACAAGGCAGGAGTGGCACTAAATCGAAAGATTGTCTTCCCTTTGTTCAGTACTATAAATGTCTGGAAAACAAAACACAAAATGAGAACATTTAGTATTTGCATTTATGCCCAGCTTTTCCCAGCCCACATCCCATTGGGAAATTCCTGCCAATATCCCATACTTCTTCCCCACTCCCTCCTGAGACCCTCAAATGCCTTTTCATTCAGTGAAGAGTTTTGTCCGAGACCCTCCCAGCAGAGCTGTTGCCTGTCTTATTGCAATATCCCAACTATTTTTAGTTCCTTAACTCCTTACAGGGTCCTGTGCCGTCACCTCCATCACAGGGCTGGGACAAGAGCAGAATTACCTTTAAAAATAAAAAATGACCTGGAGATTAAAATATGGTGGAGGGGCTTTTATGATGCTCTTCTTCTCAGGTGCCGGGAACCTTACTATGTTGTTACTCCATCTTCTCTACTTTAAGCACTTTGTTGCTCTCACTCAATGTTTTTTTGTCTTACTGAGTAAGAAGCTGCATGAGGCACAGCTCCACAGCAGGATCTGACCTGAGGCACTGTCACTGTACTCAGGTTAATATGGGCGGAGGAAACCAATACTGTGAGTTATCTTAAATCAAATGTGGATGGATGCTGGCCCAATTTGTAGAGCTCTGAAGGTGCCCCACTATGCACAGAGGAACTAATATTCCCTCAGAGACAAGATCAGGATGCCCAATAGATAAACTCTAATTGCAAATCTGTATCCTGCTGCTTCTGCCCGGGGATAACAGGCAAATTAAAAGGTAAATTAATACAGGCCCATCCAGGTAAGTAATCTATTTGTCTTTATCCATCTAACTTTTATTCTGTAATTCTTGCACCTGTGCCTCCACTGTTTTAATAGAAATAGTATTGTGGTCATATTAATTCATTGTTTACAGGAAATAGTATAGCCCAAAATCGGGAACATCAGTACCTGAACAAACTGGAAGCTTCCTAAAAATACACTGTGTTTCCAAGCCTTGTTTTGTCCCCTGTGTTGCGAAATGTTTGGAAAGGGGAAAGAACTGTAGTATGCAACCAGCCCAGCTCTGCTGTCAACAGCCTTTTGACAGAAGCTCTTTGCACTGTTGTGGCCTTGGTCCAGCCTACACGTGATTCCCCATCAGGTGATGCTCTCTTTGGGACGAAGCTTACCCTTCTGCAAAGCGCCAGCATTGCACTTGCTACTCACATCTCCCTTTGGATCTGTTTTGTTCGTCTTAAATGGAGTTGAACCCTCCCCCAGCAGGAAAAGAACCGCTGCTCTCCAGGAGCGGTTGTGGAGGTGCCTCCTGCTCTTATGTAGAGTGCTAGCACAAGACTCAAGTCACCCAGAAGCCCTTAACATTAAAGGGCTTAAGTGATAAACAGACCTGTGAAGAGTCAAGGCTCATGCAGGAGACAAAATAGGATAGATAAAAACCTCCAGCTTAGTTTAACTCAGCTACTGCTCTGCTCTTTTCAGACATTGCATTTTCATACTCTTTATCTGAAAACACCCAAGTTTTAATTATGCTTTTTATCCCTCTTTGCCCTCCTGCTTAGATGTTTTCTGGGAGCCCTGCTCATGCCAAAACTCTGATCCCAAACCAGGAAAAAAATATTTTTACTGGCTGTAGAAAGATAAAAACCAGAGCCCCCGAAACAGAGACAACTTTCATGCTTCAGCAAAAGCAAAGAAGCAGGATGGCCGGCTGGTGCCCACCTTACGATCGTTGTAGAAAGGGTCAAGGTCCTCCAATGGCTCCCCAATGAGCTCTGGAGGAACAGTCCCATAGATATCGGGCAGCTTCTTGCAAGCTTGCAAATCAAACTGAGGCTGAGGTTTCTCTTCTTCGCCCAGCTGCTCTCTGTATTCCTGCTTCGCATTCCTTGCAAGCTTCTCCGCGATTCGTTTCTCAATAGCAGCCAAGGATTCAGGCGTGAACCGGTGGAAGCTGTTAGTACCCGGTGGCAACAAGAAGTCAGCCATCTTTTCATCCTGCTTTGTCTTTACTGGTCTTTACTCCTAGTAGTGGAAACAACTGAAACAAAAAGCACCAAAGGTTAGCAACTGGAGCACAGCAAGAAGAACAAAGCCATCAAAATGAAAAGGATAACCCAAATAGCTTTTAGGCTATCTATTATCAGAAAACCCTTCATCTATTTTTATGTGGTTAGTATAACATCAAGGAAAACAGAAATGGCTGAAACTGTAATTTCAATTAGGAATCACTCATGCTCAGAGCTGAAAAGACTTTGTAGATAGACTGTGGAGCATTCTTAAGTTTTTCAGTTGCTTGGGATGCTAAATCCAAACTAAGGAGTAACTTGGATTCACACAAGCTTAAGTTTCATTGAAAGCCACGGGAATTTGGATTCCTAACTCATTTTTGAAAATGCAGATCTGGGAGTGGATGAACAATGTGCCTAACATGACCACAGGGCAAATTTAAATTGGCTGATCTCTGGCCACATGATGCAAACTCTAAAAATGCCCCAGCTGTTCTATTCCAAATTTAAAGAGTGGAGGGTCAAGTTCAGATTCTTAAATCGCACAGAAATTCTTCATAATCTCTGTCTTAGGCTTCTGCAACATAATTTCTTTTTTTCCTTTGGGATAGGAAATACCATCTTCAAGATATCTGTCAAGACTTTTGGGCATTTTCTCCTCCACACCCTACAATCTGAAGGATGTTGGAAGCCCACATGTGCTTGGCAAAGCCCTGGGATCTTCATGAGAGCACTCCAAGCTTCTGAGATGCTGAATAGCCACTGTTACCAGTTCATTCCATCTGAAAACCAGGCTTCTTCCATCCAATACTGGTTTGAACATCTAACCCAAACCTGTGAAGTTTGACCGTCTTGAGTGGATGGTGCTTCATTGCTAACACTTTCCGTACCCGCCTGAATGAAAATGAGTGAGAATGGCCCTATATTTCTGACTTACATGAATAAAGACGAGGGTGAAAAACACAGCAGAACAAGCAGCCTTATTGTACCTGCACTGATCAACATGGATAGCTATAAAAATTAATGTAAAACTACTGTTTAAAAAGGCATAAAGCTTATTCCTGTTCTAGTAGCCTGCACAAATCCATCCAAGTGCACTGAAGCCGTATTTTGCAATTTAATAGTGACTTTAGTGGCATGTTTATCCAGCAGGACAAACCCTCACTACGCAACAATTAAAACTCATTTCACAGAATAAACACAGCCCTTGGTTTTTTACTACCACCAGGCCTTTCATACTAAATCAGAATATAAGCTGGTGACAAACAAAATAGTAGATTTTGAGGTGGGATACCCTATTGCATTTGTCGATGTGCGCAGGATACAATTCTTTGTTCAGCCGCAATTGTTGTTTTCTGCTTTCAGATGGTATTTGTCTATTTACAGTGGATAGTTCCAGATAGTTTGCGTCTATTAGGCTCTGTGATGACAGCATTTTTGTTAGCAAACAAGACTTTAACTGGACTCTGCATGACAAATAGCATATTTATTGACTCAATTTATTTGAGTAAAGTACTCTTTCAAATAACTACTGTTTTTCGTATTCTGACTTCGTTTTAAAATGAATTCATTAAATTGTCATTGATCACAGCCTATCATACAGGAATGATTTACTGGAGCTCGTACATTATACTCTGCATTACTGCGTGTTTGAACAAGCAGGGCTAAAATGAATTAGCCTTCCTGGAGTTTGGGTATTCTGACATTCTTCTTTATTTAGATATTCTCTTTATTCCTCCCTCCCCCCATTTGTTTTATCCTCTTCCTCCTGAAAAACAGGAAATTAGAAGCTTTCCCACAAATTGAGTTTTATGCTCAACGCTTTGTGACTCAGCACCAGTGCAAGCAAATAGAATTTCACTTTCTATAAATGACATCAGTACAGGTGGCCAGAGAATTCTCAGAGTTTTTTTGTTGTTTTGATTTTTGTTTCTTCACAATGAAACCTGTCTCAGTGCTGAAGTGGGTAACAAGAATCCATGATTGGTCAGTACTTCTGGGAGGGCTCAGACTAGGTTTCTAAACCAGAGAGGAGATCACTGGGGGCTGCTAGCTGAGGTGTAGTGCTGTGAAGATGGTAAATGGGGAATGATTGTTGGCTTTTTCTCATAATATAAGGATGGAGAAATTCCAAATGCAATCAGAGCAGCAGGTTTGAAACAACCACTGGAGCTGCTTTCCACATGGCACAGAGTTGTCCTGTGAGACTTGTTGGCTGCAAATGGCAAGGATTTACAAAGCCAGGAGACAAATCCAAAGGCAAAAGAGCCATTAATGGTTTTAAACACAAATGTGCTATACCTGATTGAGAAAATCCCTTAGCTAGAGAACCTGGGTACATGCGAGAAAGACTACTTATGTTTGCCCTGTTTTTACGCTCTTCCTAGGCTACCAGTCTGGAGAAACATGTCATCTGCTCTTATGTTCTTTTGTCCTTACATAACACTAATGCCAACACAAGACAGCCTATGCTGCCTTGGGCAAAGCCTCAATCTGCCCACCAACTCTGTGGCTGGCCTGAGCTTGTGCAGACATGGAAGCATACGGACAACCAAAGTTAATACCCTGTACACCTGCAGGTGCTCAGGACCCACACTGCACCAACTACCTGGTTCCAGTGCTTCAGAGCACGGGCTGGGTGACCGCCTCCAACCTACACAGATATTCCCTTTGCTGGAAAACTGGTGGTAGCCACCTCTGCACCACCTTCTCCATACAGCCGAACTGGAGGATTGCCATAAAGCATGAGGGACACTGAGTATTTTACTGAGATGATAACAGAATGTGTGGAATGTCTCTACTAAGTGCCACGGTTTTCATGGGTGTTACTTGATCACAAGAACTGAATCTTGACTGGAATATTCGGCATCCTTCCAGACTTCCTTAGGGACTTCCAAAAGAAGTCATTCTGGCAACAGAACTGGTCAAAATTTTTTAAAAAAGGAAAAATAAAAAAGGATAGGCAAGATGAGGGGCATAAAATAGCCAGAAAAAAACATAATCAAAATGAGAAGTGGTTTTTTTTTTTTTATCTTGTTTTGGTTTTTTTTTAAGGGAATTATTTTTGCTTAAAACTGTCTCTTATTAAAAATTGAGTCAACTTCAAACTCATCAAAACCAGATCTCTTCAATTTTATCTGCAAATTCTGGAATGAAAGCCATCTAGGAACAGCTGGAAAATCCTACACAAACTTCATTAGAGCTTTTGCTACTCTTTGCTTTACTTTTACTTAAAAAATTACATTTTCCAGCATCCTTGCAATTGAAAAATCTTGACATGTTTTGTCTTCATATTGTATGTAAGTTAAAGTTTTAAATTTTAATATATATATTTAGCCTAATTCTTTTTCAATTTCATATGCTTTCAGGAAATGGACAAGATAATTTCACGGGTCTTTTCTATGTCTAATTTCTTTTAATCTATGAATTGCAAACATTTCTACAAATAGCCAGGGTTAGCCCAGATGTTTCTTAAAAGGGTAAGAAAGCACCACAACTTAAAAAGGGAAATCATCAATGACTGAATCAAAGAACCAGAATGCCATTTCTTAAGAGATAATAGCTGTTGTGACTCACGTTTTTACAATATGAGCCTGGATTTTTCCATTCCTCTCAGGCATATTTTTGAAGTACAAGGCTTCAAACACATTGTTTCTGTGATATCACCATGCACAGAATGAACATTTCCCTCTTTCTTTGTCTTTGTTAAATTCTGTTAACATCGGTTTTTGCTGATAAAAACATACTGGTTATGTAAACAAAATGTGCATATGAAAATAAAGCCCCAAGATGTGTATTTTCTATGGCATGGCAAGAAGTGAGAACAGTACACACAAATAAGATATTGCTAGCACTTCTATGTAGTCAGAAAGATAAATGCCATTTTCCATTAGTTTTAGCCTTACTGTCATAGGCTTCAGTCACCTCGGCTCAAAAGACCTTTCAGGTTCTCAGAACATGACCTGTATGCTCTACAGACCTTTTCCTGACACGCTATGGATGGGTGACCATCACCCAAAAGGCGACTTTGGGTAACAGATTGCCTGCAGGGGTGTAAATACAAGGAAAGTAGGTCCTGTTTACCCCCAGCTAGCTGCCCTCCTGCTCTTGCATGGGCTATGTGGACCCAGACCACCACCCTAGTGCCTGCCAACCCCCTATCATGGCCCAAGAGGCTGACACGAGCCAGCAGGGAGGTCCCATCCTCCAGAACCAACAGGGGAAGCAGAAGCTGAGGTCCTTGCTGTGCCCTACAGCTGGCTGCACCCTGACTTCAGAGAAGCTACAGCTTTTTGCACCTCCACTTTCTGCTTGCACAATGGCATAGGATTGCTTGCCTGGTGTGGTATCAAGGACATGCACACATATATTTCAGACACTTGGCAATCGTAATAAAGGAGCCAAACTTGAAGACAAACAGTGTGAAAGTGGCACTGAGAGGCTAAAGGTTAGGTACCATCAGACATGCACATCTCGAGTAGGATTGCATTCATTGAATCTACTGATTCAACCTGATCTCCATGATGCCACTCAAGAAGCTACTACTGACTATGGACTGGGGAGACGGGTGATAGCCTGTGGCAGCAGCTATGTTTCCACTGCGATTCTGCTAGACCTAAATCTTACAAAATAACATTCAGGAGTCCTAAATTCTCCTTTTGTTTGAGAAATGTTTGTGACTAAATATAGACTTTGCATTCCTAACTGCTGTGATAACAAAAACAGTCATGAAGATGGGTTTCTTTTAAATGGTTGAGACTACATGGAGCACTGTCATCCTTTTTCCCTCCTCTTTTCCATATAATCTCTTTGGCATTTTCCTTTGACCTGCAGAGCACTGCAAAACATGACAATAATAGGCTGGGGAAATAAAGAATAATACAATGACATATCTAATTTAATGTTAACTTACCTAGATTCACAAATTCTTCTGCATAAATTTACACATACGCACAAATATTTTATCAAGTGTAAAAAGAC